TTGGTGATGGGCTTTTATTTCTTAAAACAAAATAATCACAGCTTCACCCACATTAGTGAATGAACAAGGCTGTTTCATTTTTTTATTATATATTGTCAACAAATTCCCTATAAAGACCAAAACAAGCTGTGTGTCTGTGCAAGGCCTTTGTTTCCACTGCATGCTCAGTAAACCCACATGGCTCTGATGGTTCTGTCACTGATACACAGATATAAATTTTGTAGGTTGGGTGATTTTTATTTTATTATTTTGACAACAGTAGTGTCTCAGACAATCTTTGATTAAAATTTAATACATATTTTTGGTTTTGGCCTTTGTTGACAACATCAGACTTAATGAGCATAAATTCATAGGTGATAAAGTTATTTTAACCGTGGTTTTACTTTAATCTGGTCCTGGGAAGGAAATGCCTGAGCTAAGGTGGGATTGGAAGCTGTGTAGCCACACACTCGTGAGGATGTTTGAAGTGCTGGTCCTTGGGACCAAGTGTTCTGTTGCTTTCAGCCTCTGATTAGCTGGTCAACATTTAAAAAACCAGCAGGGCTCTGGGTCCCAAATATTAGCGTTTAATAACCTACATCCTAAATATTTACAACTGTGTCATATAAAGCAGTGTTCTTAAAAAACAAAACCCCCAATCTTAAACATTTAAGTAGCTGGATAAGTGCACTATAGCCATGGGACGTTTGACCTGACGGAGAGGAGATATGTTGATGCTGCGTTTGCCTAAACAGACTTCAAAGTTTGGGGCATTTGGTTGCCCTAACCCCTTTACAGACCTGTGGTGCCACTGAGACTCGGTGACTCTTGGCCTCTGCACACGCATGCATATTGACACACTCTTGATATTCCTCAGATATTTCTTTCATTTGTTTTGTGTAAAGTTTACGGGTGACATTTTTAGTAAGGACCTAAAATTAATTGCACCATAGTGGGATTAAAAAAAAAAAAAAAAAGTACCTGCATAACTTTCCTAGATAATAGCCACTCTCTTTCCTCCACATAATGAAGTGTCCTGCTCCACCACCCAAATATTTTTGCGTCACATGTTTAATTGGTTAGCGTCATTTTACTTTGAGTTGGATTTACAAATGAGTGATAAGCTTCTCGTGGTTACGCTTGCTTTACCATCTTTTGTGTCGCGGACAGAACCATGATAAAGAGATTGTATGCAGAAAAAGTTTTCATACCAGTAAGTATATCTTGAAAAGTTGTTTAATTTAAAAGCAACATGGTTTTAAAAACAGAACAAAATCTGGAGTGTGTTTGGATTCCTTTTACGACTGTGTGGGCTCCTGTTGCTGATTTGTTTTTATATATAATTTTTTTTTTTTTTTTTTTTAAGTGGGTCTCTGTATCTGGCAAAGTTGGTCAGGACTTCCTGTGCAATATGCTTTATAACTGTGTCAATAAATCTGAGACAGTCAAAGTGGTTACTCTTTGATTTCTAAAAGTGTCCAGAGTTGTTGTCATTCATATACTGCTCTGTGGCAAAGGTGTACTGTACACCCTTTTAATTCTAAGGTTTTACCTATCAGGACCCAACAAACCATTTGGTTCTTAGCAGGTCTTAAAATTGAGTAAATGCAACCTCTGATGAACAACAAAACATGACGCATTATCCTCCGTTCACCAAAAACTAAGCCAAAATGCTCCTCCACCACCGCGCTTGGCACATGATAAGGTGTTTATGCTGATATGCTGTGTTTGGTGTTGGCCAAAACATTAGTTTCTGAGCATTGCCCGATCTGACCTTGGGGTAAATTTGCTAAGGTGTCCATTTCTTGGCAACTGAATGTTTTTCATTTGTGAAAACAGTCACACTGATGTGCTGCTTTAATGCTGCAGACCAGCGAGCTCACAAAACATTTGCTTTTATTGAGGTGCTCACACTTCAGCGGCACCTGGCTGCTACATACTGTCTTAATTAAGGCTCCTGTTGATTTTTGAACTTTGACTTTAGCAGGTTTTAGTTGCATATGTTGCATCTGTGTTTTTAAATGTCGTCCCTCATACAAATATTAGACTTAAGAGATGGTTACTTTCTTTTTCACATCACTGCACATATTGTGTCACAGGACTATAATAACGTGCCCTTTATGCTTAAACTTTGTTACATCTCAAGGCCAGTATTTGGCATGTGGCAAGCTGCATGATGCAAACGTGTTCTAAGGCCCTCACCACCTTTGTTAACCCAAGACACTGATTTTTGGGGGCCTGTTTCAGGCAGAGTGAACAATTGTGTCTTTTGAGATCACAGGATGAAGTGAATTTAAATTTACTGTTGAAAGAAAACAATCTTTTATGTTTCTGATCACTTCTCTGCACCAACAGTCCTTTGTCAAAGGAATGGATTTGATCACTAAATAATGAGCATTTCCACTCACTGGAAGGCAGAGCCATGTGTGTCCAGGTTCCACCTCTTTGCTCTACAGACTGATAACTCCCCTTTGAGCTACTGTATATGGTACTTAATAGTTAGCAGGACTTTGAAGCCTCCACTTCTATATTTTCTGTTTCCTGCTTAAAAACCATCCACATCTACCCCAGCCAGCCTGTCTGAGACCCCTCACCGTCTACTCGACTGGGTTACCGCCTAACCCGCTCCCCCCGCACCAGTCTGCAGACTAATGGATTGTGTGTGTGGTTGCTTTTTTGGTTTCCATAAAATGAGCATCTTGCACTGAGCCTCAGCACCAAGCTCTGCCCCTGCTACCAGTGGTGTCCTGGCAGTCTGTTCCTGTCTGTCACCAGCCCCCTGCTATAAAGCCAGTGTTATCTTCAGTGTTAAGTGCACGCCACAGACGGAGGGTCAGCTTAAAGTGAGGCAGCAGAGACACCCTGTCCCGCCTGGTCCCACCGCACACAGGAAGCAGTGCTTCGCTGGGTCCCCTTTGTCTGGCCCCGGAGCCTGCTTCGAGCTGTGACACAGGCGCTAATGCAAGGAGACACTCAGCCAAATTACGCTCTAATTTCCCCTCAGGACTCAGACGGTCCCACTGGCCCTTGAGAATTGGACTGAGGATTTGTTCAGAGTGATTTGTTTTGTCTTGTCCCTCCCATATCGATGTCCTGTTCGCTCACTCAAGTTCTAGTTCTCTGGTAAAAGGCGACTAAATTGGGGATTTGAGAATAGAGGGATTCAAGGAGCATGAGTCCTTAGAGGATAGGAGGCATAGCTGTTTAAATACACCCAAAGAGAAACAAAAGTAGTAATTTCACTAATGAACACGAATAAACGTGCAAACTAATCTGCAGTTTCGTATGCAGGCATCACTTGCCATCACTCTCGTCTTAGATGAGTGTGAGAATTTGGTAGACTTCTAAGTTTCTAGTATGCTTTAGTCATGTTTTGTGATGCCCGTAATCTACTCATCTGCTTAAAGAACTAATTTTGTGTGAGCCGCTCAGACTCAGTGCGTCATATTTGTAGACCTGTAGCTTAGTTCCCTTCCAGCAGGGGTTTAATTGAGTGACTAATATGCACGCAGTCAAAGCCCTTTGAAGGCTGCCATAACTCACTTCCTCACAAGTCTGTTCACAGATTAAACAATGATGCACCAAACTGGTTTTCTGCTTCAGGTTTGAATGGCTTGTGACTTTGTGCAAAAGCCTTAAGCCAGTCCCCATTTAGACTGCGGTTGGAAAAATGGGAAATGGGTGTAACGAGACACAAAAATACTGTATATGATGCACACACACACACACAGTCTGTATAATTTTAACAAGTCAATATTTAGTATGATCACCTTTGTTCTTCAACACAAGCAAGATTTCTTTGGATGTTGGCTGCCTTTTGTTCTGTTCTCTGTCAAGATGATGCCACAGTGCTTCAATAATGTTCAGGTCCGGGCTCTGGGGAGGCCAATCCACGGCTCATTCTGCTTAATTTTGTTTTTTTTTATCCAGGTGAGCTTTCACTGTGTTGGCAGTGTGTTTGGGGTCATTGTTGTGCTGAAAAATAAAGCCGATGCCAATTAGACACTTTTATATTGTGTTGCATGTTGGATCAAAATCTGACTACTTTTCTGCGTTTATAATTCCATCAAATTTGCCAAGATCTTCAACACCACTGGCTGAAATGCAGCTCAGAGCCTGCAGTGAGTTTTATAGATGGCTGGAGACGCTCACTGTTGTACCGTTCTCCTGTGCTCCATACATACATACTGATGATCATTTGAAGCGAAACAAATCAAATTTGGATTCATCACTGCATAAGACTCATCAACACTCATTTTCAGTCCAGTTCTTGTGTAATTTGGCAAACCTCAACTGTTTCTCCCTGCTTCCCTTCCTTAAGAACGGCTTCATGACAGCCACACTTCCACTGAGACCATTTCTGACGAGGCTTCAGTGAACAGTAGACGGATCAACTAAAGGGCATCTCTCAGGCCTTTTTTTTTTTTTTTTTTTTTTTTTTTGGATTCTCTCAATTTCTTAAAGACATGACTTTCAGAAACCGTGCATCTGCTGTAGATAGTCCTCCATTTCCCTAGTTTCCTTTTTTTTTTTAAGGACAGCACATTATGTCACAAGGTGCCACATTTTTGATTAATACCTTTTGTTTTTGAGAATCACCTTGTTTGTGGACAAATGTATTTTTTAACTTAGGTATTTTTTTTAAAATATTCAATGAAATGAGAACAACATTTTTGTGACAGTAATAAAAATATTAAATTCTTAAGTGTTTCTTTTTATATTTCAGTGACTCATACCTCAGTGTTAATCGGCTGAATAAATAAATAAAGAAAACGAAAATGTTCAGACACAAGGACTGGACTGAAAATGAGTGAGAAAACCCACGATACAAACCGTGGACAACATTTCTAAAGTCTGAAGAATTATTAAGGATGACTTGATATATAAATAAATAATAGTTACAAGACAGTCTGATTCCTTGAAAGCAAAAAATAAAGAAATAAAAGTTAACCAAAGACTTTTTTCATACTCTAAAGCAGCACAGAAAACCATCAAATGCGGAATTTCTACTCCACTGCATTTCACAACAAATGCTGGAGTGAGTTTGTAAAATCCAGCAGACTCAACCGCTGGTTCTTAATCTTTCTGTCCTGTGAGCGCCATCTGTAGTCGGTTCTCCTTTTAACCCTACAAAGCCCGAACCATGAAAGTTCCCAGAAAAAAGTTCCCATTTTTTAAACGTATTTATTTTACTGAAGCCTTTATTAAACCGTGTGACAAAAGTAAAAATGAATAAAATGAATAAAAATAAATTACATATAAATGTACACGACTCATTTTTGCGACAGTCGGTGTTTTTGTGCACTTTATGGGGGACAAAAATCACGTTATACGGTTAACAGGTCTGAGTTCCTGCAACACAGAAAATAGATCAACACTAAATAATAATAGCCAACAATTTACAAAAAGGTAAAAGTATTTTACAGTGTGGTGTGATGTTCTGAATTTCAAAGCTGTTCCAAGATGGATTATCAATTTTTCCCCTTCAAAAAAACAACAACAAAAACAACAAAAAAGGACTACTTTGTCCGGGTGCCAGGGGACGTCCTGATTGGCCAGGGAATCGCAGTTTTCTTAAAATACCACAGTGTCTGCACATATAAGAGGAAAGTTTCAAACATTTTCTTTGGATGATTGCACTTTAATTCATCTGCGTCCTGTCTGACGGGTTATTTTTAGGGCTCTTTTCACCAAATATAACCCGCCTCGGTCGTTTGTCATCGCGTCACAACAGGTAACATTATCCCATTTAGCCTTTTCCTCTTCCTCACTGGCTGGGTCGGAGGAGAGGTGTGGGGTTTGGGGCTATAAAAGGAGGGACGGTTACAAGTGCCTGACACTCATCTTCGGTCTGCTGAGGTAAGAGATGAAGACGCCTTTTCTTTTCACCTCACAGGGGGCTGCTTTAAATACCCACGATAGAACTTCTTTAAAACTTGAGAAAAAAGAACATTTTATTGCCTTTTTAAAAAAGCACGAGCAATGTCTGATCGTTTGCAACCAATGCTTATTCGTTAGGTGGAAACAACGGCGACAAAAATGACTATTTGGTGCAACTTGTGTAAATGTCACGTCAGTACTCCTTGCACTTCCCACCATCTGCCCGCGGATCACCGGAGCCCAGTCTACAGGAGGTTCAGGTCAGTGATAACTCTTCTTTCCCCTCCTCTCTGCTCCACGTCCTCTAGTGGCTGAATCAGCGCACGGCTGCTGGGAAAATTTGGAATCAGCTGTGCGTTATAGTGCATGCACGACGGGGAGCACTTAATCCCCTCCCATGTCTACAGCCTAGTAGCTTATTATTTGTGATACATACTAATCCAGCCTTGCACATGATGCCGCCAAAATTATGCTGAATCAAAGAAAACTCTTTCAAAGTGATTCTTTTAATATACATGTATATATATATAGGAAATATGGTTCTGAATATAACATAATAATGGAAATTCATAGTGTGTCCATTTGAAAGGTTATAACACATAAGCTAAGTCCAGATAACTGCCCTAAAAAGTCCAGTTGTGGATCTCTGATTAACTCACTGGGATACATTGTGATATAATTCTCCTTTTGTGGCACTTTCTGAGAGCTTGTGACGTGGGGCACCCCACTCAGAGGACACCCACTTTATAAGGCAATGAAGGGAGCATCAGAAGCCCAGCCTTCCCTGTGTGACGCCCACGCTGAAGCCTTGGCAGCTATAAAAACCCCAGGCTCTCCGTGGATGGGTCCAGAAAGATACTGATCACGCAAAGTCTATCGAGAGCCCTCATTTCTGTTGGAGACGCACAACAGCCTCTCATATCAGCAGTTTCCATAGGAACCCTTGATATTCAAAGTCAGCTTTGGCTTGTGGGGAAGAGATATCAGACAGGGTGAACTGTGGAAAAAAGAGGCAGGATCAGTTCAGAAAACTCTCTGTTAGGTTTTTGTTTTTTTACTCTACACTTGCCACTTAGACATCATTTTTTTTTTTTTTTTTTGAAATGCGAGTGTGGAAATAGACAAAAGTTTGAGCTCACTGGATTTACTACTTTAGTTTTCAGTTCAGCCTTCTGACCTCAGTGACCATGGTCTCTCACAGATCCACCAAAGGGGCATCCAAAGCTCGACGGGAC